TCCTAATATAATGTTAAGAGTTGAATTCAATGTGAAAATCTCATACTTATAGATTGGAACACATGAAGTATTTATCCCGGGTATGTCTTCGGTTCTGCAAGTTAGTCAGGTCGAAGTTTAACTTCTTAATAATTAATTTGATAAATGTATATGCAGATACGTGGAAAAGAGTTACCTACGTGATTGTGAAGTGTAGCCGCATTTCAAGAGGTTGTGGACTTGACCTTAATACGATCATGAAAGGATTGGAACACACGACTTTATAATAGTGTCAAGTTGTATTTTACTAGAAATTCAGTAAACTAGTATGTATTTTACTTTATGATATTCAAATGGGTTGATGAGTTCAATTCTTTAAACACCTTGATTCTCGAGTATTTGCAAGTGTATGATACTAAGTGAAAATTCAATCATTTCAATATTTTCATTATGTATTAGTTTGGTTTGTTTTGATAAGGTTATGTTTTTTCAAGGGTTACACTAAAATAGGAAATGTTACCGTTTCATTTTATGTAACTGGAACTAGAATGTGAGCTAAGGGGCTTCATAATTTGTAATATAATATATGTAAAGGTTTGTGCGGAGTGCACACATGCACAAGATCGAATTATAAGCCGGTACGACAGAAATGCAGGGTTTAGGGACAACTCTCCAAAAAGGTCTTCGAAAATTTGAATTAGTTATATTACGGAAAAACCGAATTTTAATGGGTTATTATGGTAAAATTGATAAATTTTATCAATTTTGGTAACCATTGATAATGCAATTAAATTCTTGATTCTCCTAACTAATTTAGAAGATGGGTAATTATGGTAAAATTGACAAATCTTATCAATTTTGGTAGCCATTGATTTCCTCATTAATTTCGGATTTGTTTCCTCATTAATTTAGATTCCATTGATTTGTTTCCTCATTAATTTGTATACTCTTGATTTGTTTCAAAAAAACCAGATGACGGCCAACCCCAATCTTGTTTATTATATATAAACGATTTTTCTCTTTAAGAAACGGACACGAAAATTATTAGCTCTTGTTTTCTTCAACCAAAACAAAAATTCTTCTACCAATTTGACTTACGATTTCTGTTCTTAGAATCGTAAGTGTCATCTTGGATTATTGTATACTGAATTTTTTGTAAGTCAGACATATGTTAGAAATATCCGTTCGAAAAGTGTTCGCACGATAAAAATTGCATCCAAATCTCCAAAGCAAGCCCTATTTCCTCCAACACTAAACATACCGAAATTCCGTCGAAATCTGTATGTATTATTTATAAATCCAATTAAATTATGTATTATTTATAAATCCAATTAATTTTTTTGGTTTTGAGTATATGCCGTATTATTTTATTGGATCACTTCGACTTATTCTCGTCCAGCAATGATATGATAATAGCATCTCATTTATTCGTATAATATGTAAACAGAACATATAAATGGTTTAAAGGAACGTAATCTTAAATTTTAAAAGAAAAGTTAGTGGGTCTAGAATCATAAGACTTACAACAAGAGGGGTTGAAGTGAAAATATATATATGGCAATCTTTTTGACTTTCCTAATCCCTTGTACAAAAGAACTTCCAAGTGTTTGTCGGCCTTGCAAAACGTCGCCGTATCTGACAATCGTCATCATGGATGTTCGCGTTGGCTAACATTCGCATTTCAGTATCCCCAAATCACCTCTCTCTATCTCTCTCCGTTCTTCCCTACTGTACAGTACAGACCAGAAAGCACTCAGATTACACTGTAAATTGATTCCTCCAATTTTCTGATAAATAATTGGTTTGTAGATCAGTCGGATCTTATCAGAGATGGGTTGTACACAATCGAAGATCGAGAACGAAGAAATTGTGAATCGGTGCAAGGAAAGGAAAACAGTGATGAAAGAATCAGTATCTGCTCGGAACGCCTTCGCCGCTGCCCACTTCTCCTACGCCGCCGCTCTCAAGAACACCGGCGCCGCACTTAGTGACTACGCCCAAGGCGAGGTTCAATTCTCTGATCACCGGCATCCTTCCTCTGTTGACGCAGTGTCCTCTTCGACAACCATTCTCCCTCCAGCACCACCACAACCCCCTTACGAAAACTTCCCTCCGCCCCCACCACCGCCTCTCCAACGAGCCGCTACTATGCCGGAGTTCACCATTTCGGAACCGGAATTCAAGTCGCATCCTGAACCGATCATCGAAGAAGGCGACGAGGATGATGAGATTGATGATCGTAGCTTAAAGCACCGGACTAGTTCTAGAAGCTCCGCTGGTGCCGGTGTCAGAAGTGTTTCGAAAAGAGAGGCCGAAAAACAGGATTTCCCTCCGCCATCTCCACCCCAGCCAACACCACCACGTCCGACCGAAAACACTCTCAATCGTGCCGCACCGCCTCCACCTCCGTCTCACGGGATGTCTTCATGGGATTACTTTTTCCCGCCGATGGAAAATGTTACAGGTCCGAGTCTGGCTGAAGCAGATAGCCATAGCAGTAGATTCGAACGTGAAGAAATCCACCAACGGAAAGTGTTGGAGGAGGAGGAGGAGGAGGTGCAGGTGCAACACAGGTCTATGAAGAATCATATGAATCACAACGGCGGCGATGAAAGAGGTGGCGGTAGTGGTGATAATGAAGTTGAAGAATTGGCAACTGAAGTGGAGGAAGAGCCTCCACCACCCCTACCTAAAGCTGTAAAGAAGGTTCGGGTTCCTGTGTCAGTTCCAGCAGATGTCAGAAGATCATCCGCGAAGGGTGGTGGTGGACAGAGTCTGGACTTGTTGCAGATATTTACTAAGCTTGATGATTGTTTTCTGCAAGCATCAGAAAGCGCCAATGAGGTTTCAAAGATGCTCGAGGCCAATAGACTGCATTACCACTCAAATTTTGCTGATAATCGAGGTATATCAGCACGATCCATGTTCTTAATTATGCTGGTAGTAAACTGTTTGCAAGATTTGATCTAGAACTTAGTAGAAAATTCTCTTAATGCTGATATCGATGACTGGCTTATTGGTTTTCAGGGCATATAGATCATTCTGCAAGAGTCATGCGCGTGATTACATGGAATAAGTCTTTTAAAGGACTACCAGATGCTGATGATAAGAAGGATGACTTTGATTCTGAAGAGAATGAAACTCATGCTACAGTGTTGGACAAGATGCTTGCATGGGAGAAGAAGCTATATGATGAAGTCAAGGTACTTTCACAGTTTCACATCACATTTTCCATTAAGTTTTGTCTGTATAAAGAAGTCATCTTTCTGTATCAAGTAAAAGAATCACTCATATATATCTTACTGGATTAAGTTGAACATATTGATTAATGCTCAAGTCAACAGGCAGGTGAATTGATGAAACTTGAGTACCACAAAAAGATCGCATCACTAAATAAACTCAAAAAACGTGGTGCTAGCACCGATCATTTGGAGAGAACAAAAGCAACTGTAAGTCATCTGCACACAAGATACATCGTAGACATGCAATCAATGGATTCAACCGTTTCTGAAATCAATCGGCTTCGTGATGAACAATTGTACCCAAAACTCGTCCAACTTGTCAATGGGTAAGTTTCAAATCCTTATGATTCTTCTCAAAATTATTCTTTAGATAAATGGTCAGAAAAATCCAATTCCAATGTGGATTGAAAAAGTAGTTGCCAATTCCCTATGGATCCTTGATTGCCAGACTGTGTCAGGGGTTGTTGGAAGAATAACCTTTTAACTGTAAATGTTTTTTTAAATAGGATGGCGGAAATGTGGGAAAACATGAAATTACAACACGACTACCAATCAAAAATTGTTCAAGCTTTACGATCTCTTGACATCTCTCATTCACCAAAAGAAACAAGCGAACTCCATTACAAAAACACAAGCCAACTTCACGATCATGTCCAAATGTGGCATTCCCAATTTGAAAAACTCATGTCACACCAAAAAGAATATGTAAAGGCTCTCAACAATTGGCTAAAACTCAACCTTATCCCAATCGACAACAACCTAAGAGAAAAAGTGTCCTCACCTCAAAGACCACAAACCCCACCAATCCAATCCCTTTTAAGAACATGGAACGATTTCCTTGAGAAGCTTCCGGAAGAAGGAGCAAGAACAGCTATACACAACTTTGCAGCTGTCATGGACACGATCTTTCAGTACCAAACAGATGAAATGAAAATGAAGGAAAGATGTGAGGAAACAAGAAGGGAGTTGACGCGAAAAACACGAAAGTTTGAAGATTGGTATAATAGATATATTCAGAAAAGAAGTTCGGAAGATATGGAGCATGATAAGGAAGTGATTGCTGAACAACAAATTACAGTTGAGTTATTGAAGAAGAGATTGGAGGAAGAGGAAGAAGGGTACCAGAGGCAGTGTATTCAAGTGAGGGATAAATCTTTGATGAATTTGAAGACGGGTTTACCAGAGGTTTTCAGGGCAATGTCGGAATTTTCTCGGGCTTGTTCACATATGTATAAAAGCTTGAGGTCTCAAAGGATGAACCAAAATCCAAATGCAAGTTTTTCATGAGGTATGATATGATGTAAGCAAAAGCTTGTTGTTCACTTGTTTGTATGATTTGGTAAAGGTTATTAATTTGATTTGTATGATTCAAGTGTGAAGGAGGCTTAGTTGTATGTTAATGTGATTTCATTTTTGGTATTACCCTATATTTTATAATATTATCCTTTCTTTTGTATGATGTGGATGCCATAACAACCACTAATAAAAAAATCATCGATATGTATGAAATCAAATAAAAGGAAACATGAAATTGATGGTTAGAGCAACTTACAATGCAATTTTCAGATGCTTCTATCTCCAAAACTTTCACCAGAAGGTAGTCATTCATGCAACGCAACAATGGAGGTTCGATGGAAAGATGATACAAACGCTCCACTTTTATAATTAAAGGTCCTCTGAAACTCGCTGTCAGTTTTTTGTTATACTGTTTTACAAGGGTTGTATAATATTAAAAAAAAAAAAAAAAAAAAAAAAAAAAATAGTGTATGATATAAAACAGTTGACAATAAGTTAGGGAAAGTGAAATTGAAGGTTTCTACGGAATTAATGGCAAAATTAATATGAAAAATTAATTTAGGGTCAAAACAAAATTTGTGGGAAAACTTAATGGCTTTTCTGTTATTAACTCAACTTGGGATGAAACATAATAACTAATCGAGAGAAAAACGAGGACCGAAGTGCACAATTTATAAAAGGCCTGCTATTTACAGCGGAAACCACAGCGAAACTTCGAAATCATGGCGTCCGGAAAACCCGAACCACCGCCTCCCACCGACTATCGCTACGATGCTCTTCCTTCTACTCCTCAACAAAACCAATATGTCGTTGTCTTACCCTTCTACTCTCCCTCCGGCCACCGCAGGTGGCGTCGTTTATGCCGCCGCTATCTCTCCTTCGCCAGCACCATCCTCCTTCTCTCCGTCGCTCTCTACTTTATCTGGCCGTCTGATCCTTACCTGAAAGTGGTCAATCTTCGGCTCGACCGTCTGAAAATACACGCTGTTCCTAAGATCTCCCTTGATATTGTGTTAGGTGTAAAAATTAAGGTTCGTAATCCTGATGTTTACTCGCTCAATTATGAGTCTCTCAATGTCTCGGTCGGGTACAGGGGAGAGCAGCTAGGGTTTGTCACATCGGATGATGGAAAGGTTAAGGCATTCGGTACATCGTATATCGATGCTACACTGGTTCTTAATGGATCAGAAGTGATCTCCGAAGCATTTTCTCTGTTTCAAGATCTGGTGAAAGGTTCGATCCCGTTTACCACGACCCCTGAAATTCGCGGCAGCCTTGGAATTTTCTTCTTTCAACTGCCAATTTCGGTATGGATATCTGTCTGGTTAATCTCTATTTTGTATAATACTATATGAATGTATAATCTACAGGCAGTTTTCTGGTGGATTTAATACTTCAGTTCGTGGTTAATTTCAAGTTATAGCTGATAATCAGTTAATTACTACTTCCAAAAAACACAACTCTTCCTATTTGATTGATGTTATAGAACTGTGTCTCATATTGATTGTTATGAGCTCCAGTTATTGCAAAGTAAAGTACCATAACAAAGTTTCGTTTTCCTTTTGAATTTAGTTGATTATCCACTCAAATTTGCGTTCTTTATGACTGCTATTACACTCTTGAGAAAATAATGCATTGCATAAGCATGAATTTTATCAATTGAAACTCCATCTGGTAGAATTGTTAGGGTGCATATTAAGCCATCTGGATCTATATCTTTATCTATAGCCTGTAATCTAGTACTTTTTTATTAGATATTGCAATGATCAAAAGAAAGAAACATCACCTAACTTTTTAAAGCATACATGTCTAGGTTGTTCATGTTTTGGTTAAAAAAAATGATCATTTTGATGATTCATACATAGAGAACCTTGATTCCATTATCATAATTCATGCATATCTGCTCCATCTTCAATCTTCAATTCTCATCTGTCATATATTTGCTTCTAATAATAACTGATGATGATGAACAGGCCAAGTTATCATGTGAGGTTGTGATGAACATAAACAATCAAACAATCGAACGACAAGACTGTTATCCTGCGGTAAATTGAAACCTTTTCCCAGTTTCATTATATAATGAAAAGATTTAAATCCCTCTGTTTAGTTTACAAAAAAAAAAATAATGAGTTTTTTGTGATCAGTGATGTGATGTGGAAGAACACTGACAAAAGCTATCAAGAAGAAACAAATCATGCTATGGTTTTAGGTAAATTCTCCTTAAATTAGTTTTTTCTTTTCGGGGGGTGATTATTGATTATTGTGTTAGAGCTGATTCATAAAATAAACCCCAATGTAAATATAATGACATCATACACTCCGGTTTACATATTGTTAATTTGTTATTTCGCCTTATTGATTGAAATACGTGTAACTACCATTTCTTTCAAAGAAATATGAACGTCATTTTCGCAAAAAAAAAAAAAGTATGAAAAAAGCAAATCTCATAAATAAGTACTGAAAAAGTGAAAATGGGAGTTACATGTTTAAGAGGTCATTTGTGACACATGTTGAAAAGGCAGTTATTTGGAGATATTTCGTTCCCCATTTTGGTCGTTTTTGTGATCCGCTTTTAATTATATCAACATAGTTTATCTTTACGAGTTGAGACATGATGCTGATTTCTTTAGTTTGTTTTTATAAATGATTATTGTGTTGAATGCGAGGTTTTTGAATAAAATAATTTAGGAGACATGTATTGAAGTACATTTTTGACGCCCGTTTGACGGGATTCTTTATGAAGGAAAATTTTCGTTTCATCTTTTAGAGATAAAATCATAAAATGTAGGATGATTTATAGAAAAACCGCTATATTTTGTAGAGTTGGCAAAAAAAGACACAAACTGCCAACTCAACACAAACCCAACTCAATAATTTGTTGGTTGAGTTTAAGATTCTCAATCTAAGTTTGTTTAGTTAAATGGTTGGAATTTTCAATACGGTTTTAACTAAAACCTGTCAAGCTGTTTCACAATTTTATATATATCCTCTCCTTATACTAATAAAAGAATAATCTTTTGCCATGTGTGATCATATAAGACTTTTTAATTAATGTTTTGCCACTTATCAATTTATTAGTTCTTAATTTTAAATTTATTAGACTTCCTTATTAATATTATGCTATTTGTCAATGTATTTATTCTCTATTTTAAATTTTAAATTTTAAATTTGAATTTTATATTATTATTTTCATTAATTCACAAATAAAAAATGTCTAATATATATTAAAAATTAGTTTTACATATTTATTTGAATCAACGATTATAATTTCACATAATTAATAAAAATATCTCTTAAATTAATAATTTATCTAAAATAACTGATTAATAATTTTGAGTTTTTACTATAAAAGTTTAATTAATTTTATAACCGTGATTTCCATGGGTTATAAACTTATATATATATATATATATATATATATATATATATATATATATATATATATATATATATATATAGGTTTATTTGAAACGATGTTAATTTTGTTAGACCGTGAGATCAAATTTAAAAATAATTTTAAAATGCAAAATAAAAAGAAAAATCAATTTTTTTTTTTAATTATTATTTTGGGAACTTTAATTACCTAAAAAAAATAATTAAAAAAATTACCATTTTTTTTAAATATGTGAAATATTCTAATAGAATATTATATTGTAAATATTTTAATATGATTTTTAGAATATTAAAATATTCTACTAGATTTATTAGATGTATAGAATATTATAGTACTCTACTAGAATATGTAAAAAAATGTATTTTTTTTATATTTTTTTGGTATTTTTTATATTTTTTATTTGGAAAATATAAATTCCGAAAATAATATTTGATTTTTTTTTTTGAAAATTTTCAATTATTTTGCATTTTAAAAATGTTTTTTTTCTACTAAATGAGTGGTTAGGATTGCGTCTTACGGTGTCACAAAATTAGGTCGCCTCACATAAACCAATATATATATATATATATATATATATATATATATATATATATATATATATATATATATATATATAGAGAGAGAGAGAGAGAGAGAGAGAGAGAGAGAGATGATGGTTTAATAAAAATAAAGTTGAGAATGAGAGAATCAATCTTTGCCGCAAAACATTTAGACGTACCAGCGGAAATGGATAACGGATAAACATGTGTTTTCTAACAAAACATATTTCGTTAAACCATGCTAACAATTACCTTAATATACAAAAAAACATACTTTTTTTTTTTCGATTTTTAGAAAACCATTTTTATCGAAAAATTATTTTAAATATATCAAAATTCATAATTTTTTATTCTCTATAAATAGACAATTTATATTGATATAATTTTACGATAAAATAAAAAATTTATTTTTTTAGAGTTTCAGCTTTCGTTATTCATAATTGAATAAAAATCTATCAGATTTTTATTACAGCTTTAACACTAGTTGTATAAGGTACTTAACTACACTAGTTGTATAAGGTACTTAACTACACCGATTTAATGAAACTTAACTTCGTTCATGCATAAAAACATGATTATATCCTTTAAAATTAAAATAAAATCCTAAATTTTATTTTGGTAATTATTATGATTATCCTTAAAAATCAATAACAATGATATACAAACACCATGTATTGATCTAAACAGTAAACACCATTTATACATAAGATACATTAAAAAATTAGGTAGTAGGCTAACTATTCAATTTTCGTTTCTCTACAACAAAAATTCATAGTTTTGTCAGTTTTGCTCATTCACCACATTTCAACCACTGTTAATAATGTCAACCATCATATTTTGATATTTAAGTGTGCGGTATCATTTTTATTATTTGGATTTTCAACTTATGCTCAAATGGTTTCATTCCTAAAATATGGTTTTATGTATTCATATGTTATGTTAACATTTTTTAAGAAAGCCTTAAATTTGAATCTCATATATCTAAACAAAACTAATAAGAATGTTTAGGATTAATATTTTTATGTATTTATTTGATATAATTAAAACATATTATTTAATAATGGATTAATGCTACAAATTATTCTATGACTTTGGTTTAGGAGTATGATAGTGAGTGCGTTTGTTAACTGTTCTTAAAAAAATTGATTAAAAAATTCGGCCAATAAAACTAACATAGAAAAGTGAGAGGGAAATATGTCCAAACACACCAAATAAGTATAATAGACAAATTGAAAAAATTATTTTGTATATAGTTTGTAAAATTATATGGTGTTTTTTTTTTCTACAAATAAAAAAAATTATTATGCTAAAAGATTCTTTTTAGTCATGTATTATTCATGATACCAAAAAATATCAAATTAACATCAAACTTTTTATTAGCGGTAATAATAACATTTTCTATAAACAATATATCAAGTTTAAAATATAATATATATCCAAGATAAAGTTTAATTATATATTTTAGATAAAAATAAAATTTTGCAATTCTTTTGTTATATTCGCTTAAAAGATAATAAAAGATAATAGATTAGATAACATTTTTTAGTGTATATATTTATACTTTCTTTTTCGGTGTAATCATGAAGTATCTTATATATTTAGTCATGAAGATTATAACCTATTTTAAAGTTGAGTTTATTTTGAAAAAAAAAAAAAACATTTTAGGTCTAAAATGATAACAACTACAAAATATAGGGTCTTTTATGAAACAAAAATACCTAATTTACCTATTGGTGACCTGTTAGGTCTGAAATAATAAGTAGCACATAAAAGTAGGGTCTTTTCCGAAAAAGAAAAGTCTTTTAGGTTAAAAAGAAAAAGAGTAAGAATATAGAGTCTTTTATGGAAATTACCATTTTTCTTGTATCAAATCGTGTCCATGAATATATTAATTTTGTATTGGTGTTAGTAGTTTTATTATCTAATAACATTTTACAAATTAAACATCAATATCGATTAAATTCAACATATATAGGTAGTTAGTATGTTTTAAGAAACTATAATTATAAAATGGTCATATATTGTTGTTGTTGTTGTTGTGTATGCTTGTGTTACTCCCTAGATACTATCCATTGTGAGCCATTTACCACAAAATTTCTCTATGAGTGTCTAAATAATAGTTGATGTGCATAATTCTATAAAATCCAGATTTCACAAATAACATGGACAACGAATTAATATATAATCAAACAAGGTTTTTTTAAATATTGATTTTATTTTGTAAAATAAAATGGTACTTGTATTTGCATAATTAATAAAGACATTTTGAAAAATATAGATTTCGTTTTACAAAATGCTATATTTTATACTCTCCTTTATTTTTCTCCATGCATTAGAAAATCTAATTCAACATTCCTATGATGAATTTGTTCTCTCGAGTCTGCTTCATACCCTTGAATGCTCAATATCATCATCACCCGTACAATATTTCTTATCATTGAACACCATATTCACCATATTCCTTTGTCACGCAGAGGACAATGTGTACCAAAGTTATCCGTAGGGGTTGTATGTTTTGAGAAAATCCTCCTTTTTTGTCTTCATTTCAATGGTGTTCAACAAATTTAGATGTTGAACAACTTTGTGACTATCCTTGCAAGAACGTTTCATGAAAATGCACAAAAGCTTTCCCACTTTCCTCTAAACACCAGATCTTATGCATAACACTCTTCATTTTCTTACACAAAGTCATAATTTAGGAGTCAACCCTCCTTTTTCACAATTCACTAACTTATATGCATGATACTTTTAATTTCTTCATGGAAAGTCATTGGTTCAAAGTCTAAGCGTCTTCACTCTCTTCTTAATCTCAGTAAGATCACATATCTCAATATGGTCTTTTCCGGTACAAATACCCTAAATCATCCCTTGTGCATTGTGACTTAAATTTAAGAACTACAACAAGTAATTATCTTGGTCACTTAAACTTAAACTCCCATACACATTAAAACACCCCTTATATGGACTTGTTTGAAATGGCAATAGAAAATAAATCAAAAAGGTTTTTAAAGACCATTTTAATCATTTGAGAAAGTCATAAAACAACAAAAGTCTTCTACTTATCCAAGATGCACAACCGAAACCGCTAGTAACATATGCACATGTTAAAGTAGTATGTTGGACCTGGTATGTAATGCTCGCAAATTCGGGATAGTCAATTAAGATATATATTAAGCATTAAAAAATAACTTTTTGATGGAAGATTATTTAGGATAAGTAATCTTTACTAAAGTTATAGTACATGTGACAAGGATTCGAGACATATAAAAAACATTGAAATCCGACTTCGTATGAAGAAGTTATGCTTCTTTGAAGTTTCGCGATTAAACTGGCACAACTTTGCCTATCGTAAAAAATATTTTTTTGATAATTTAGCCTAAGTAATCTAAACGAAAGTCATAGTATTTATTAAAATGAGAGCATGCATATAGAGAACGTTAAAATCTGACTTCGTAAGAAGAAGTTATGATTTTTCGAAGTTTCCAGATAGCAGTGTGGGCCTAGA